CACATCACTTTATAAGATTTTGGGGAAGGTTTTATCAAAGAGGCTAAGAATTTTCATTGGAGGAGACTGTGTCGATGGCGCAAGGGGCTTTTGTGAAAGGAAGACAAATCCTAGATGTAGCCTTAGTGGCAAATGAAGTAGTGAAGGAATATAGAAGTCTAGAGAATGAGGGAATTATTTATAAGGAGGACTTCGAGAAAGTATATGATTACGTGGATTGGCAATTTTTGGATTTTGTAATGGAGAAGAAGGGTTACGATGGGCGGTGGAGATCTTGGATTAGGGGATGTTTGTCGACGTGCAATATATCTGTGTTAGTTAATGGTAGACCAGGGGAGTGTTTTAGGGTTTCGCGAGGATTACGACAAGGGGACCCATCATCTCCTTTTCTCTTTATTTTGGTGGCAAATGTACGGGGAAGGATGGTTGATCGAGCTAGAGAAGTAGGTCTTTTTGCGGGATTGGAGGTGGGGGTAGATAGAGTTAGTGTCACACATTTATAGTATACAGATGATACCATATTTTTCTCAACAGGGGATGAGAGCTAAATAGTTAATCTTTATTCGATTTTGAGACTTTTCGGGGTAATCTCTGGGCTTAAGGTTAATTTGGAGAAAAGTAGTGTGGTGGGCATTAATATGCAACAAGACTTGCTTCAGAACAGGGCAGCTCTTTTAGGATGTGGTATAGAGGCACTCCCGTTTAAGTAATTAGGTCTTCCATAGGGGGGTAATCCTAGATGTAAAGCTTTTTGGAATCCAGTTGTAGACAAGATTGGTAAGAGATTGGAAGGATGGCATAACGCTTTATTGTCACACAAGGGCAGATACACCTTAGTTAAGTCAATTTTGAGTGGTATTCCTATTTATTTCTTATCTTTGCTCAAGATACCAGTTAAGGTGGCAAAGACATTAGAAAAGTTGATGAGGGATTTTCTTTGGGAGGGTAAGGATGAGGAGAAGAAGAATCACCTGATGAGTTGGGATTTAGTCTCGTTGTCTAAAGAAAAGGGGAGGGGGGGGGGTTTGGTTATTGGTAACATTTTGGCTAGGAACGTGGCCCTTCTTGGCAAATGGTTATGGAGATTTCCACTTGAGAGTGATTCACTATGACATTTGGTTATCAGAAGCAAGTATGGGACTCAAGACAATGGTAGGGATTCACGGGTGGTTCTGAGGGGTAATTGTCGTGCTCCTTGAAAATCCATTTCGCATATTTACACATGTTGGTCTCGTCATCTTTCTGTAAGGGTGGGCAATGGGGAACTTGTTTGTTTTTGAGAGGATGTTTGGTTGGGCCAATCTTCTTTTGCTTATGATTTTCCACATCTCTATAGTGTGGCTCGGTCTCATAACTCTTCTATAGCTTCCATGGCTTGTTCACATTTGGCTCCAATTTCCTGCAATTTTGATTTTTCTAGAAATCTTAATGATAGGGAGGCATCACAGTTGGCGTCTTTGCTGTCCAGAATTGATAATTTCTCTTTGGCTCCTCTTTTAGAGGATAAGAGGGTTTGGACTCTCCATTAATTTGGGATATTTTCTTATAAGTCTTTTTCTGATAAACTCATCGATACTCCACATGTTTCTCTATTTCCTTTTTTGCAAAAGAATATGGAAAGCTTGTGCTCCTCTTAAGGTGAATGTGTTCATGTGGGCCTTGGTTCATGGAGGCATTTTGACAAATGATACATTGCAGAAACAAAGACCTAATCGCTTTCTAAATCCTCAGTGGTACATTATGTGTTGTAAGAATAGGGAATCCGTGGATCATTTATTTTTGCATTGCTCAGTTGCTTCGACTCTATGGCACAAATTGTTTTTGTTGGGGAATGTTATGTGGGCAACTCCGCAAAGGAGTACGCATATGCTCCAAGTTAACTTTCACGCTTTCGGAGGATCAAAGAGAGCCAAAGTGCTATGGTCTTGTGCGATCTTTGCAACTTTTTGGATTCTATGACTGGAAAGAAATGCGTGGGTGTTTGAAGATAAGTCCCGACAGATAGACTATTTGTGGGATAGTGTTTGCCATTTAACTTCTTTTTGGGTTTCGGGGAATCCTCTTTTTACAGAAGTCCCACTTTTTTTGTTAGTTAGAGATTGGTTGGCAATGTGTGATATGTAAGCCTTTGCTTTAAGAGATTTTTGTTAGGCTTGTGTTTTGTGTTTTCCCTTTTCTTTTGTAAGAGGATGCCTTATCCTTGCTTACTTTTTGATTTATCAATAAAGTTCTTTGTTGTTGATCCCAAAAAAAAAAAAAGTGAATTTTTGTTTTTGTTTTTTATTAACTTTTTCCCTCTTTGTTTCCATATATTTTATTATGACCCCAAATCAAATTTTGAATTATTAAATAAATAAATAAATAACAGACCACAAATGTGTCCTAAAGCATGTCAAACACAGGACACGTTTCATGCAATGTCCAACGCATGTCCTGGTGTATTTGTGTCTGGCACGTGTTTGCCACTACCACAACACCCACTTTGGCGTGTTAGTGCTTCCTAGTGTCATAAAAGTGTTCACTGTCACTGTTTTTTTAATTCTTTTTGCATGCTTAAAACATTGATGCTAGCTTTCCTCTTAAACCTTCCACCAGACCACAAATTATACTTTGAGCCATCACTGCTTTGCCCACTCACCATGGACCTAGGAATTTTTTAAGGCTTCTTTCACATTTGAGACCAGAACCAAATGGCATGGTTCTAAGTAATTTGATACCCCTGGAGTTTTATTGGGTGGGATCAATTTCACAATCTTTCCACTTTCTAATATGATTTTTATACATTTTATAGAAGCCCAAGGTTTTGAAAAGAAACTGTTACCATTACGTCATGGTATAGGTCACCTCCGCTACCCATTACAATTTAAATTATGTTACCCTAGTGTTTGGGACTTACCATGGATGGCATATAATACATTTCAAATCATAGTTGAGACCAAGCAATCCTCTATGGAATATTTTCATAACAAGTTGAAGCATATAATGATAGACATTTCTCAAAAAGTTGTCATATCATATGTTGGCTTCAAGCACAATCATAAATCAACTGCATAAATCAAGTTACAAAATCATGCTCCAATATCTAGTTACTAACCTCAATAGTTTACCCAAGTTGCATAGGTGTTCACTTCTTGGAGAGTTACTCTTCTTTACTTGGTCCTACAAAATATGTTAAGGTCTTTGAACCACTTTCCATTTAATCCCCTTTTCATGTTTGCATTCACAAAGGCTAATTTCCATTAGGCTTAAGCTAAATCAAGGCCCAATGCCTAATTTCTTAATGTATTAAACATAATCCCAATTGAATGTCATTATTCTCATTGTAGTCCTCCAACCAAATGATGCCTTAAGCCACAAATCGACACCAAACTTCATCATATCTTCTAAAATCTTAACTAATTGAAAATGTACTTAATTAAACAATCTCCTTTAAAGATTAACAAACTCTCAAGTTTCCCACATGAATTAGGAGTTACTCATCAAAATTAAACTAACCAACTGAATAAAGAGATAAATCAAAATTTCAACTCATGTGAGTGGCCTCCAAATCTTCTAATCATCATTGCAAATCACAAAATTCTTGGAATTGAAAAAGATATAAAAACTGGAATGTCATACCATCTCATCCCCTATCATACAAACCCATGCCCGAAGAGAGAAAAAACACATACACAGACATATTGTTAGAAATAAAGAAAAGAGAGAATGTGAAAAGAAAATAAAAAGAGTAATATGAACCCCATTCATTTCTCTTGACTTTCAACAACAATGCAAGGGTCATACAACAAAGGAAACTCACCGGGAGGTGAAAACCCATTGCCTCAAACCACAGCCATTGACTACAAACTCCACCTGCATTGCCTCCACTCACCTACTCTCACGACTCACCTTTTTCTTATCTCTCCAATTTTTCCTCCGATTACATCACCACAGCCCTTCCAGACATTCCTTTATGAGAAACTAGAATGATTATAAATAACCAATTTTTTTTATTTCCCCCCTTTCTCCCCCCCCCCCCCTTTTTTGTGATCAACAAATACCTGCCAGCTCATTTTGCCATTATTCTTTTAATTTTCCTAAATGATGAGTTTGACACATATACTTTGAGAGGAGTTGCTGGGACAGGAAATGAAATGATAATAATAAATGATTAATGGTAAAACTAATGATATGGTGCACATTAAGTGTTCTTCATGTCATGATAGTCAAATATAGGTGGTTTGAATTTTGAAGAAAAAGATGCTACTGTTGCATCATCAATGGGGTCATGCTGTCTGGTGAGTTGCTTGAACAAACAACACCAAAAAAAAGGGATCAAATGAATGAAAAAAGTTGGCCGAAGATTTCAATTTTTTCTTCTCAATCTCAAATCTGTTTCACACGAGGCATCAGAGATGATCTTCATCATCTTCTTCTTGACTTTATATTTCTTCGTAACGGTTGCATTTTCTAGAACTATGTTTTTAAGTTTTACTGGCTCTTCGTCTTCTATATGCAAAGAGGAAGCAATCAGTAATGTGACAATAAACCTTAGGGAACAGATATAATTTCCAAAACCAAAAATCTCTGTGGAGATCCATGTCATTTACCCTATAAAAATTAGTAAATATAATGGACCATATTAAAAATTAAATAAAACTTACCAAAAGCCATTTACAACCCCAAACCCAATAAATATGATTATGAAATAAAACCATTTAAACAATGGCATTATGCTTGTAGAGGTGTGTAAGGATAAGAAAGAGGTGTGCATCGTAGCAAGTTTGGTTGGATGCATGGATATCACTGGTGTTAAGCTCTTCAATTTATACCTTACCTTATTAACTGTATTCTGTTCAAATTTTGTTTTCCTCAATGTGTGTCTTGCATATAATATAAGAGTTGGAATAGGATATACTTTATTGCAAAGGAAAAACAGATGCAACAAATGTGGGAAAATGGAAATTTAAATCAACAAAGAGCCCAAACAAACACAGTGAGTGTAAGGATATAGCACTCACCATGGCAAAGTTTTTGAGGAGATAAGCACATTCCTCCTCAGCAGCAATTTGCTGCTCCAGAACCTCCTGCATCTTAGAATCAACAGCATCACAGTCCGCTTCAGCAAGTCTGAGGTCAATGGCCAAGCGTTCCTTGTCCTTCTCTGCGGATGCAAGGCTCTCACTAAGACAGTCGGCGGTCTCAAAATCTTCGGCCTCGCAGGCTTCCTCCAGCTCCTTCTCAAGTTGTCTGTACCTGGTGGATGCAAGATTTACAGTCTCGGCAGCTTTTCTTCTCCTCCTTGTGGAATCCTTCCGTGCGGCAGATACAGAAACGACCAGGTCCCGAACATGACTGAGCTTCTGAGAGATCTGGGCCCTAATTTGTTCAGACCTCGATTCAATTGACGCGTTACTACTATTACTACTACTACTAGTAGTGTTTACTTGGTCGTCGTCTCTTGCTTGATCATGATCCATGGACAAAACCCTAGGCGTATGTGTAGGCGCAGGAGGAGGATGTGCATCTGAGACCAAATTATCATCATCATCATCATCATCAATATCATCATCATCACTTGCTGCGGTAGAATGGGAAGAGTCAACTTGTTTACAAGTGGTGTCTGAAAAATCGCTCTCTACTGTGGTGTTCGGTGTCGCAGTCCCCGGTTGAGAGTCAGAAATAGGGCAGCGGGAGGCTTCTTCTTGTTGTTGGTGTTGTCGTTGTGGAGCAGATGCAGATCCATCTGATTCCGATTCCGATTTGGCAGTGAATGATAAAGATGGTGGTGGTGGAAGCTCCGATTCCGAGTATCGAACATGGGCATGCTGCGAAGGAGGAGGAGGAGAAGGCCGATCATCGGGAATTGGGGCGTCTCTACCGTATCCGATCCTCAAACCACCTCTCTTTTTCTTTCTGGTGGAAAACTGTCGAGATATTACTGATGACGATGAGGGAACAACCTCCCTGTTGCTTCTTCTTGTTGTAGTTGTAGTAGTAGTAATAGTAGTAGTAGTGGTAGGGAGAGGGGGATGATAGGGTTGGGCTTGAATTTGAGGGCTTATTAATTGGTTTTGGAGGGGAGTGATGAGCGTAAGATCAGAGAATAGGTTTTCGTCAAGGGGCTGGGATGTTGACGAGGACGATCCTGCCAAAGTATTATCGGATGGAGAAGGTTGTTCCTGTTCCTGTTCCTGTTCCTGTTGCTCTTGTTCTTGTTCTTGCAGCTGTAGCTGCTGATGCTGATGATTATGAACATGAACGTGATCATCATCAGCCATCTGGGAAGGGGGGTTAAAAAGGACCATCCCTTCGAATAGAGAATCCATTTCATCTATCTGTCCTTCCTCCGAAGCCATCCCCCCTTCTCTATTTCTATTTCTATTTCTATTCTCCGCCGACCTTAGTGTGAAATGGAAGAGTCTCTCTCGATCGATCGATCGACCCACAGGCTACAAGCACTTGCTAAGCTTTTATCTGGACGTCAACTCAAATGAAATCACCACCACCACCGCAACCCAGCAGGCAGAAGGCCGCCGCGCCAGGCTGGACGCCCGATCTTTCAAGGCTGCAAATCAACCGAGTTATTCACGCAACAATGGTTCATCTCACTAAAAACATCACCAGTAATAGTACTAATACATTAAAAAAATAAAAAAAAATACAATTCTAAGATCAAAACATCACATCATTAATAGTGAGACCCACTGCCATCTAATTAGTGGGAGCACTATTAGTGCTCCCAAGCATTTTTCTTATTCACGAACACGTTAAGGTTCGATTTGACTCGACTTGACTCATTTAGTAAATAAGTTGAGTTCGAATTCAAAAATTAAGTTTGTTTAGTAAACGAGCCGAGTTCGGAGTCGCACGAATTCGGTCCGTTAAATTCCATTCGTTTATCTTTATTTAAATTATATAATAAATATATTATTTATATATTAAATAATATATAAATATATATAAATAATATTTTTAAAAAAAAATTATCAAGCCGAACTTAAGTTTCATTAATGTTAACGAGTCGAGCTGAGTTTCAGTCCAGTTTCTTATCGAGCTGAGCTCGAACTCAATAAACGAGCTCGATAAGTAAACAAGCCGAGTTCGAGCTTAGTAAAACTCGGCTCGGCTCGATTCGTTTGTAATCCCACCAATCCCTAAATATCTTTACACGTTATTAATGGTTAATTTATTTAAAGAGTCAACTTATTGACAGTATTTCTCATGGTGGATCAAAATTTTTATTAAATTTGAATAAAAATTTGAGTAAAAAATTAATTTGATATCAAGTAAGAGGTTTTTGAAGTTTTATCAAAACACCGGTTGATCGGGTGAACGAGCAGATTGACCAGCCAATGTAAATTTTTTATAAATTTCTGTTTTTAGGTGATCATCCAGGGGACAACCAGACGAATGTCTGGCCGATCAATGTAAATTTTTCACAAATTTTTGCCTTGAGGTGGTCATCCGAGGGACATCCGAGGATATTCAGTTGTGAAAATCCAACGGCTATGAACAGTAATTTGATTAAAAGCACCTCCATTCTCAATCTGATGAAAATTTTGAGAAATCCTAAATTTGATAAAAGATTTCATAAAAAAAATGTTTGAGATCTCAAATGTTTTATCAAATGTTCTACCAAATATCTCACATGGAGATGGGACCCTTTATATAAGATATTTGATAGAATATTTGATAAAATATTTGGGGTCTCCAAGATTACTCTTTGGTGAATCATTGGAGCAGCAAAAAATAATTTTTTTTTATCAAATTTAAATTTAATAAAATATTTAGTGAATCATTAAACATGTGAATCATTGGAGATGGTCTAAGATCTAATCACCTACCATACGACGTTCTCCCTTTGTCATCAAATCAAAAATTAGTGAAACTTGTATTTTATTTTATTTTATTTTTTGAATTATTAAATTTATGTAAAATAATGTACGCTCTACTTGTTTGGAGAAAAATGTACTTTTTGATATTTGACAAACAAATTCATTTAGAAGTACAATACTTTTAAAAAAAATATTTCTCAAATTAAAATTTTACCAAAATCAATACACTACCACATCCTCCACCTCTATCATCTCACTGACACCTCACCATACTTCACCAACACCACCATTAATAGGGCTGTGCAAAATACCGCTTAATCCGCTAAAACAGCACCAATCCGCACCACTCGAACCGCTAACCGTAGTTTAAACTTTAAAATTTATAATCTGTCAACCGAACAGCTCGCTATTGCTAATACATATATATTTTTTAACTTTAATGAAATATCAATATAAAAATGAGTGTGAGAGATTTAAGATATGAAATTTATTACAAATTAGTGGTTATATATATGAAACATATTATATAAAATTACTTTATGTTATATATCTAAAAAATATTATACAAATTAGTATTATATATTATGCAAAAGTATGATAATTAGTTAGAATATTCTTCAATCTGTCAATCCATTAAAACCGCCCAAGCCGCAATTTGTCAATCCACTAATCCGCTAACCTGCCATTTAATTTATAATTTTACTCTCAAACCGCTCGAATCGCACCACGCACACCCTTAACCACTAATACAACTATTAGCCATTTTCAAGTCACAATCAAGTATATAACTTTTTTCTCTTTAAGATATCTTATGACAAATGTGTTCAACAAATAACAATTTTCATATAAAATTTTATCCAAAATAATATGATAGTACCTTTTTCTAAATTATAAATCAAAATGGTGGATGTTTTGATTTTACATTAAATGACTACAATAAGCCACATGAATTTTGTGGGAGCCGAATAATGGCAAAATCAGAAGGTACGTACCTTTGAAGACTGATATTAATCGCCTGTATCCTACGAGAATGGAAAGCCGAATATAATATATGTGTCGAATAAGTGTAGATCCTTAGAGCCGAATAAGAGAAAGGACAATGATTAAAAAATAGGCCCTAGCCTCGAGGATCAAAAGGAACAGGTATAAATACAGGAGCAATGGACTGAGAAAGGTATGTAAGAATCACTTCACTTAACTTAGTAAACAAGCTATCCTGAGTATTTGAACTGACTTGGCCGTCGGAGTGCTAATTCCGGCACCCCCGATCGGAGTGTTTGTATCTTTTCAGGTGACTAGCTGAGGATCACTAGCGTCTCCCAGGATCTGAAGAGTATTTCCAAACCACTTCTCCACAATTTGCGCCGTCTGTGGGAAAACTCAAATACATCCATGGCAGGCGTGACTGAAGATCCTTCGATAGCCACTGACGAGACCACACAGAGAGATGACCTCACTCTAGCAAATATGCTCGGAAAGGAAACCACCGCTGTAAGACGCGCCTTGAACTTCGACTCACCAACGACTTCAGCGCAAGAGACAATGCTCGATCATGGAACAAGCAAAGCAGAATGAACAAAGGCTGGAGAACATGATCACTGAAAATGAACGTCGCCGTCAAGATTTGGCCCTGGAAGTAGCAAAATCCAGAGAAGCCGTGCGCCAAGATCCCGAACGACCTCCGAGGGCAGGTGGACAACGACCTCGAGCTTGACCAAAGGATACGGATAGCGACTCCAACTCATTACCCACGGAGCTCAACTAGAAGGGACGATCCGAAACTTCCAACTCCTCCAAAAAAAGTCTACATACAAGGAACAAGGGCAGAAGAAGCAGTTCAGACGAAGAGGACCGTCACGATCCTTTTGTCTGACGGATTGCAAAGGCGGCCCTGCCCAAGAAGTTCAAAGCTCCGTCATTCACTCTTACGACAGAAAATCAGACCCCATTGATCATATCCGTCACTACAAGCAGGCTATGACATTGCATGCAGACAACGAAGCCCTCACGTGCCGAATATTCCCCAGCAGCCTAGGGCCATTAGCTGTCAGGTGGTATTACAAGCTGGAGCCGGCTTCGATCAAAAGCTTCCATCAATTACAGAAATCCTTCAGGGCCAGGTTCATCACCAACGAGGTACAGCCGAAACAGGCCGACTCTCTCTGAGCTATGCAGATTCAGTCAGGAGAAACGCTTAGAGCGTATTCGGCGCGTTATTGGGAGTGCTTCAACCTCGTCGACGACGCTTGCAACGACTCCATGGCCATCACCGCCTTCAAAATGGGACTACATCCTGATAGTGCTCTTCGTAGTTCCCTGACCAGAAGACCCCCCAAAACAGTCTAGGCGTTGATAAAGAAAGTTGAAGAGTATTGCAAAGTGAAAGATGATGCCTTGAGAATAAAAGCCGGACAAATGTCCAATAAAATAGCCCCCTTGGAAATTGCTCAACCAATAAGTTCTGTGCCACCTCCGAGCCCTGAGCCACGGCAACGCGCTAAACGAGACAAAAGACGGGACTCTCGCCGATCGAGCGATCAATGCTCCCACCGGACGAATGAAACTGCAAGTCGACAGCAGGCGCTCGAGGCGTGCCGACAAAAAGTAATAGAGTTGTCAGAACCAATCACTGTAGTAATGACCAAAGCCCAACACCTTCCATTCTTCAAATGGCCGTCAAAGATGGTGGGGCCACCCGACACGTGAAGAAGGGATAGGCAGTGCGAGTATCACAAAGATCACGACCACGAAATCGAGAGTTGTTACACATTAAAGGATCACCTAGAAGAACTGGTGCAAGACGGCCGACTGCAACAGTATGTGAGAAAGGGAAAGCCAATCAAGGCATTAGCCTTGAGGCAGGACTCGCCTCCACTTGGCGTGATCCATATAATCTACAGCCTGCCTACATCCCCAACCGTGCACACAATTCAATTGCATCCAATCCCCTAAAAGCACCGTATTCTGACCGAATGGCCCAGAGAAGCTCCGATAATTACTTTCAATGACTCTGATCTTAGCGGCACAATAGCCTCCCACATCGATCCGCTGGTCATCAAATTACGCGTAAATTGGTTCACCATTGAACGCATTCTCATAGACCCAGGGAATACTTCAGAGGTTATGTATTACAAAACTTTCACCAAACTCAGCTTCAACGAGTCAGATCTGTCTCCGGCGCCTCACCCATTGTTCGGCTTTAATACGAATCCTGAGTACCCGTTGGGGAAGATCATACTACCTGTTCGAGCGGGCTCCAGAACGGTCGAAGTAGAATTCCTGGTCGTAAAGCTCCCTTCACCGTATAATGTCATCATGGGGCAAACCTGGTTATATATTATGAAGGCCGTTCCAAGCACTTATCATCAGCTTGTGCGCTCCTTAACAGCCCATGGCATTGAAGAAATCTGTGGCTCCCTGCAATCGGCACAAGCAGAGATTTTATGAAAACCCTATTAGTGATCCGACCTGTGGGCTCTGATACTTGTATATATATCACTTCTGCAATGCAAACCATTTTTCTTCGTCACTCAATTCATTTCTCAAAGCCCCCCTTTGGTGCATGACACCTTAGGGCCGATTAAACCTCCGGATTCGGAGTGCCATTCGTGGATATCACGATTGGCCACATTAAGGCTCCGGATTCGGAGCCCCCTTTGGTGCATGACACCTTAGGGCCGATTAAGTCTCTCGATTTGGAGCCCCCTTTGGTGCATGACACCTTAAGGGCGATTAAGTCTCTAGAT